AGAAAAAATGGTTATTTTAGTGTTTGAATTTATTTAGAATTTGAAAATTGCTATGGCAATTTTCAAATTCTAAATAAATGATAAATAAATGATAAAATATTGATGTGTTTGCTGTGAGAGGAGAAATATAATTATCAAGAGTGTGACGCAGCTTCGAAAAAATTTCCCCCCGAGGACCAACAAGTGTGTTACATTCTCAGGTAGAGTTGATAGACGTCCGGCATTTTATTCTCGGAGAGGCCTCAAAAGTCACTTGGCTGATGATTCATCGTCATTTTCTTGGAAATTAAGATCGCATTAGTCTTGAAATATAATAATTGAGATGACTTTGCTATCCTTATTTGCTACTTGGTCGAAAATTTTTGCAAATTGAAAGCAAAAAAAAAAAGTTTATAATCTTTATTTAATTCTTAATTTTCTTCCTTCTTTTTTTTATGTGCAATGTATTTTCACAAGGAAAATGGCTAAATAATTGAGTTAATTATTTGTAGAAATAATGAAAACAGAACTCTGCGACGATTTTTGTAGGCTTTTTTCCGCTGGTGCGCCGAGACAATGTCGAGACTTTGGTAATTGCGTCTACCGATTAGGCTAGACGAGATTATTTTTACTCAAACGAAAAATTAAATTTCAAATCAATTCCAAAATGCGGAAGATAATTTTTAATTTGACATTTTTTAAAATAATGAGAGAAACGTTGTTTCCTTAATTTTAAAGATTCTTTACAAGATAGTTTAAGAAATTGAGAAATTAAATGAGGAATTTTGATTTTGTGTATAAGAGAAAAAGTCCGCAGAGTGAAAAAAAGCAAAGTTTCTTCTTTTCTAGGGAATCTTTTCTCTTGGTGGTAAATATTTTTCTCTTTTTATTTATTTTTTTCTTTAACGATGCGAAGAATCGTCTCTCACCCTTTTATTTCACATTACGAGAAAGTCTCACGTCACATGTATAACATTATGGCGTTGACTTGAGAACAGGCGCGCATTCTACAAGCAGAGAGACATGATGAGCATGGAACGCGATCATAAAAAGGCGTCGTCCAACGTTCTGCTCTCGTGATTTTGCTTTAATCGAGCCGGAAGTCCCCTCGTTAAGAAGAGTATCCATTAATTGCGCGCGACATCCGTCTTTGTATCATTAACGCAACTCATCTCTTATTGCGAGAATCGAACTCAATAAAACGAATCGAAAGAAAATTAGTTGTATTTGTTTGCGAATTTTTATCTCTGGGTTGTTTTTTATTGTTCTTTTACTATTCTTTATAGTAATCTTACTATTTTTTTACTGTTCTTTTACTGTTCTTTTACTAATCTCTTTACTATTCTTTATACTACTCTTTCTATTCGTTACTATTCTTTTACTATTTTTTACTATTCGTTACTAACCTCTTACTATTCTTTTACTATTCGTTACTATTTCTTTACTATTTTTTACTACTCATTACTATTTTTTACTATTCTTTATTAATCACTTTCTATTTTTTTTAGTATTCTTTACTAATCTCTTAGTATTTTTTTACTATTCTTTATTATAATCCCTTACTATTTTTTTTACTATACTTTAATAGTAAAAGGGAGAGAAAAGGAAAGAGAAAAAAAATTAAAGAAAGAAAACGAAAGAGAGAAAAAATAAAAGGGAGAAAAGTAGGGAGAGAAGATGGAAGAAAGAAAAGGAAGAGAGAAAACGAAAGAGAGAAAAAATAAAAGAGAGAAAATGAAAGAAAGAAAAGGAGGAGAGAAAACGAAAGAGAGAAAAGAAGAGAGAGAAAAAAGAGAGTAAAAGAAAGAAGAAAGAAGAGAGAGAGAGAGAGAAAAAGGGAGGAAAGGAAGAGAAAAGAAGAGAGGAGAGGAAATAGAAAAGGAGAGAGGAGAGGAAGGAGAGAATGAAAGAAATCTAATTGGAGATTATTCCGGGACAGTGAGTTGAAGAGAATTTTCAATCATACATTTTGCTTGGATGTGTCTCGGTGGTCGATACATATATACATGGATTCACATTCATCTATATAAGGGAGAGATACAAGAGAGCAAACACGTGAATGGCTGGTTTGAATCTCGTGAGTTCTTGGGCACTGAGATCTAACTACCACCTGCCTCATTTTCCCACGAGCCTCTCGAATACCGATGAGATAAAGAGGGACGGAGATCGAGTCAAGAAAGGTCTGGAGTAAAAGAGAGAGGGAGAGAGAGAGAGAGAGAGACTCTCTCTGTTATAACGATAAAGAGAGATTCTAGTTTTGCGCTTGTGTTGTTACTCGTGCACGACTCGTGATCTACGTGTGTCTGTGTAGAGGGAGACGAGTGCGAGCGTTGAAGAAAGAGGGAACGTTTTTCTTGGCGGCAGCCAGGTAGAACACGTGCTGGCATGAGGTGCATGAGTCATACACGCGGGAATATTGAAACACGATCTTTGCTTCGATGTTGCTACCAATGCTGCTGTTATTCTTCTTTTTCTTCTTCTTCTCCTTATTTTCTCTCTTCTTCCTTTTTGCTTTTTCTTATCCTTCTCTTTCTCTTCTTTTCCTTCTCTATTTCTGCTTTTCTTTTTCTCTCCTCTTCTCCTTATATTTTCTACTTTTCCTTTTCTTCCTTTCTCTCTTTCTCTTCTTCTCCTTCTCTTTCTCTTTTTCTGATCTTCTTTACCTCCCTCACTCTCTTTCTCTTTTTCTGCTTTTCTTTTTCTCTCTAACTTTTTTCTCTCTTTCTTTATTCTTCTTCTCTTCTTTTCTTCCTCTTTTTCTGCTTTTCTTCTCCTTCTTTTCTTCTCTTTCTCATTTTCTGCTTTTCTTTTTCTCTCTTTTTTCTTCTCTTCTTTTCTTCCTCTTTTTCTGCTTTTCTTTTCCTCTCTAACTTTTTTCTCCCTTTTTTCTTTTTCTCTTCTTCTTCTTCTTCTCTTCCTCTTTTTCAGCTTTTCTTTTTCTCTCAGAAAAACAGAAAGAGAAGAAGAGACAGACGTCTCTCTTTTTATCTATTTCATTCTCAATAATCCTTTTATCTCATTATCATTTATCGATCATTAGTTTGGCTAGACAATTATAATTGTCTCTTGGTTTTTCATTGCGCGGGGACAATTCGCTTAGTAATCGGTTATTGTCGCGGTGATTTTATAAAAATATGATGTAATTAGGAGTAGTGTATATACTCTGTCTAGGCTAACGATTGTCATTAGGAAAAAAGAGTCGATTTATTATTGATCGTGGTAATAATGAAACAATAGTCGACTGTTATTAACAAATGGTGCCATTTTCAAAAAATTTGGTAAATCGAAATATATAGATGATTATAATGAAAATGGGGTCAGAAGAAATTCTATTTAAATTAAATGAAAATTATATTTAAAACACTTAGAACAGTTTTTTTTTTACTGAATTATTTAAATAATTTTAATCATTCATGACAAAATCTTGATGAATAATAAAATTCTTCTCTGGAATTCAATTATTTTCAAAGATTTCAATAAAATTCTTGGCGCAAAATTTCAATTATTTTTACAAAAATTTTCCTCAATTCAAATATAATTTTCAATATCTATTATTTTAATAATATTTTCCAAAAGAATAATTAATTTTAAAAAAAAAAAAATAATAAAAGTCTACGCAAGCATTTAATTATTTTTATAAATAATTTAAATTTCACATGCATTCAATTATCTACGAATTTTAATAAAATTCTAAGCAAAAAATTTAATTATTTTCATAAATAATAGAACTCATCGTAGATTTTCAATTATTTTTAATACAATTTTAATCAAATTTCTCGAAAAATGTAATTGGTCTTCAAAATTTTATTAAAATTAGTCAGAAGAATTTAATTATTTATAAAATTTATTTGATAAAATTCTGTATGACAATTCAATTTTAAAAAGCATTGAATTAAAATTATTTATTTTTGTATATAAATAATTGAATTCTCCTAGAATTTTCTAATTAAAATTGATTTAAAAATGAATTTCAGAAATTCAACTATATCAAAAGTAATAAAATTCTTCCCATAAATTCAATTGTGTTTAAAATTTTTTTAAATTCTCTTAAAAATTTCAATTATTTTTAAAAAATACCTAATGAAATTCTTCTCCGAAATTTAATTATTTCTCAAAATTTTCAATATCTACTATTTTAATAACATTTTACAAAAGAATTCAATTATTTAAAAAAAAATTTTAATAAAATTCTAAGCAATTATTCTTAAAAATTTCATTAAAATTTGTAAAAAAAATTCAATTATTTAAAAATTTTTTGATAAAATTCTTATTATGAAAATTTAATTTTAAAAAACATTCAATTATTTAATAAATTACTTATGTTTGTATTTAAATAATTGAATTCTCGTAGAATTTTCTAATAAAAATTCATTTATAAATTAATTTCAGTTCAAATTTTAGATAATAATTGAATATTAAAAATATTCTAATATGAATTTTTAGAAATAATTGAATTTTGAAAAGGTCGCAAATTAAACTCTTTCAAAATTTGAATTTATCATACTTTTAACTACAACAATTTTGTAGAATTAATTTTTTTGAAAAAGTTTGATAAAATTTTTTTTGTAATTATTTCAAGTTTTTATTTTCTAATATACTATTTGATTGAAGAATTTCTGAATAATTGAAATTTCGTTAAATTGAATTGTAAACAAATAGATTTGCAAATTATCAAAGAACATTTGAAAAAATTATTAAAAATAATTAATTTCAAAAAGAATTTTTGTTAAAAATTCTGGAAAATAATAATTTAATTGAACTGATAAAAATAATCTTTAATTATTATTAATTATAATTAGGTACCGATCACTCCGAGTCGAAGACTCGGAGTTATCGTTTTCTTCGTGTTTTTTAATAATATATATTCTTATTTTAGGGTCAGGAAAAGGCAAAATTAAATTAATTAAATTGAACTAATTATTTTAATTCATTTAAATTCTTCTTGTTATTAATATTTATTTGTTATTAATAATATTTATTATTATTTATAATATTTAAATAATTTTTTCCCTTTTTTTCAGGTTCAATTTTTTTGTGTCGTCTCGGGAGTGATCGATAGTGACGCGGTGAGTCTTTAATTATTTTTCTATTTTCGAATATTTGTTAATAAACAATTGAAAGTGACGTCATTGTAAGTAAATATTTTCGTTTGCGTGTCGCACTTTTTTTTTAACTTGAATTGATGTTTCTTGTTCCATTTTTGGCATTAATATAATGCGCCCTTATTTTCGTTGATTGCGTCCCAAACGAAATCGCATGTCAAACAAAATGATCAATATATACATGTATACAGTGAAAAAGAAATGTTTATTCGTAATCGAAAGTCGAAATTAACAATGGCGCAAGGCTCTCTCTCCCCTTATTATGATAATTTCGAATTAACGACACGCAATTGCGATTGTCATTTCTCGATGGGAACACGAAGAGAAAATGAGGTTTTTTCTCTCTCTTTCTGACTTTATTTTTGACTTGAAAGATAATTGTTTTCCTTAATTTACTCTTTCCTCAATATATACACTCTGTATTTAGTGGAGAGAAAAAGAAAATGTTTTCTTGGGACATACACCTTAATTTTCTTCTTTTGAAAATCCAAAAATTAGTATATTTGAGACGTCTGTTTGTATAGTGTGTGCGCGCCATAGCTACATTATGCGGTTGAATGGAAAAATAAAAGTTGCAATAAGTTAAAGCAAATTATACTTTTGTATTTTATGTGTCTCGTTATTATTTTTAGATTCCAATAGATGATGAAATGAGTAAATATTATTTTAAAGAGAAAATTGTCCACAAAAATCTTTTCCCATCATGATTGAAATATAAACAAGAGAGAGAGAGAGAGAGAGACGTTATAATCTTTAAAGTGAAGACAGAAGATAAGTAAATCCGCAAATACAGTTGTGTGCAGGGAGGGATGTTGACATTTGTCCAGAAAATTTGAAACCCTCTTTTCTGGGCTTTTAACTTTTGACGCGCGTAACCTTGACAATTCCGGATATTAGTTATATGTTCCTTCGAAAACATCCCTTCGACAATTATTAACCCGGAACCAAATTTTAATTCTCTCTTTCCCAATAGGAAACAAGTTAGTCGGACTAATCCGGTAATATGACTCAATTAACTTTTGCGATGGAAATATTTGTTGTTTGGAAATTATACAGTAGAACGTCAGTTTAGCGTTTGACAGGAAAAAGGTCAGAACTTTAGAGGCAAATTTTTATTGGAAATTAAAATAATTGAGTAATAAACAGAAAAAATTTTATTGTAACAAATATTGACAAAATTTTAAGGAATATTTATTAAAAGTTGAGGAATATTTACAAAAAGTTAAGGAACATTTACGAACAGTTAAAGAATAGTTACAAAGAATTGAGACTAGATTAATACAAAGAGGTTTAAAAATGATCTATAAAAAAATTGAAAGTAATTAATAATAATATGGATTTATTAGCAATTTATTGTTTTGAATGGAAGAGCGGAAATGTGTTTAAATCTTGACTCCGAAAATTGTTGTTGATCTTTAACCTTTCTAGCAGTAGTGGAAGTGTTGTTGCATTGAGACGTTAACAGGCATCTTTATCCGGGACAATTTAGTCCTCTAATCTCTCTCCAACAGGAAGTAATTGTTTTTGTATGTGGGATATTTAATTCATTGATAAATTGATTCTCTGAAAGAGTTGAACCCTCTCCCTCACTCTCCTTACAATCTTATATTTTATATCTTGTATCGTTTCCTTAATACGTCTATCAACCATCTTTTATTATTTGTATCTCTGTGACAATTATACTCTTGATTACTTCTTCTAGTTTCGTATATACAGGAAGTTTACTCGAAACAAAAATAATATTATACATATTTTTTAGTATTGCTATTTTGTTTATTTTTCGAGTGAAATCATTGAATGTAGGAATTTAAATATTTAAATTTAAAAATTTAAATATAATTAAAATACCTTCGACTTGTATTAATGATAATTTTTGGCAATTTTGTCAGAAAAGTAACAATGTTAGGAGAATTTTCCTAAGGATGTGAAATTGAGACAAAAAACGAATCAAAAACGTTGCTTCGCAACATTTTCGATTCGCTTTTTGTCTCAATTTGACATCCTTAGGAAAATGAATTTGATATTTACTGCGTTGGAATTTATAAAGAGTTGTAAGTGACACACGGTCATGATGTTTGTTGGTGAAGATTTATGGATCTATGTGAGATTTAGAGCACTTCCTGAAAGTTATATATTAACAAGGGAGTCTTTGTTTCATTATAGAGTTGTGGATACTCCTCCTAGATGAAGACCCTATTTTTTCTACTAATGACAATCGGAAGTAACTTCTTGAAAAGAAATTGAACAATGACCAAATATGCCCTTATCTGGCGAAATAAAAATAATGTCAATTTAAAGGGTCTTTATTCCAATTCATGTGGGTCAATTTTCCCCAGCAATGATTCTTAATTCTCTCTCTATTATTTGTTCATTAGATTCTTTATTTATGTTGTTCGTTAGATCTTTTCTCTTTGTCTCCGGGGCAAATTTATCTTTTCTGGTATTTTTATCATGGTAACAACTTTTGGATTTGTTTCTGGAAACTTATTTCTAATTTTGTTCTTGAACAATAGAAACATTTTTTTGTTTGATTATAGAAACTTCTCTTTTGGTTTGTTTTTGATGATTGCAACTCCTCTTTTGGGTCTTATTTTGTTGATGATAAACAAATTTTGGGTTTGTTTCTGATGATAAGCACAACTTTCTGATTTTTGTTTCCGATGATGAGCCCAATTTATGAATTTGTTTTTGATGATACAAAATTTTTTTATGGTTCAAGATAATAGAAAATTTCTTCTATGGTACTTTTCTGATTATGGAAAAAACTTTCGGATTTGTTTCTGATTTTAGAAAATTATTTTTGGTTTTGGTTTTGATAATAGAAACATTTTTTTGTTGGACTATAGAAACTTCTTTTCTGCTTTGTTTTTGATTATTGCAACTCCACTTTCAGGTTTCATTTTGCTGATGATGAACAAATTTTGTGTTTGTTTCTGATGATAAGCACAACTTTCTGATATTGTTTCCAATGATGAGTCCAATTTTTGAATTTGTTTTTGATGATACAACATTTTTTTATGGTTCTAATAATAGAAAAGTTCTTCTATGGTTCTTTTCTGATCATGAAAACAACTTTCGGATTTGTTTCTAATTTCGAAAACTTATTTTTGGTTTTGGTTTTGATAACAGAAAAAATTTTGTTCTGTTTGATGATAGAATCTTCTTTTCTGGTTTGCTTTTGATAATTATGCAACTCTTCAGTTAGGTTTCAAATTTAGATAGGATCAAATTTTGGGTTTGTTTCTGATGATAAGAACATTTTGTTTCCAACAATGAGCCTAATTTTTGAATTTGTTTTTGATGATATAACATTTTTTGTATGGTTTAGGGTTAAAGTTGTGTAATTAATTATGTTACTTTATTTAAAATTGATTTAAAATTAATTTTAGTTAAGTTAAAGAATAAAATAAAAATTTTAGTTAAGTTAAGTATAAAGAATTACACACTAAAGCAGCAAATAATTACTGCCTTTGAATTTCTTAGCCAGCCACTTGAAGAAAAAATCCGACAAAGATGTTTGAAATTTTTCTGATCTTGAGAAATGAAGGCGTTTTGGTATTTAGAGGCGTTTGTCACAAGGGATCATTCATATTTAGACTTAGAAACCTTTTCAGAAACATGCGGAGTCGGTTTTCTTTTGACACATGTGTTATCGGTACCCTTTTTTTCTAAACACAGCATTTAAACTCGCATCGCTCCGCACAATGAGTCCTTTCATTCCTTAATTAGGATACTTCTCGTACTATTCGTAGAACCGTTATGGAGACCACTATTTCTTAGCCCTCGAATAAATTTCATTTCACATTCAAACATTTGTCATTTGGAAATTGTTCTTTTTCAAATTTCACACGAAATTACATTCATAAATAAATTTAACGAAGACATTCAACAAGTGTGCGAGAATTATCTTGGAGAAAATTCTTTCTTCTGCTTTGTAATTTTTACTATTTTTTGGGTAAATTTTACAAATGTTTTCGTTTTACTTGCTTTATTTTGTAATAAAACATTTTTTTGAGTATCTAATAATTTTTAGAGTGAATCAGATTGTTCTTTAGGTTCAGGGAAAAAGTTAAAACTTTGTCTGGAAAATCAGGGAAAAACGAAATTAAATTTGTCTGGCAACCCTGATGAATTCAAAGGTAGAGAGACCTTCGAATTGAAGAGAGAGAAAGACCTCTCTCTACCTTTTCAAAAATTCGTTTACAGTCATAAAAAAGTGAAATTCGAGTATATAACAAGAAGCAGTATAAATCGCGTGGTTTTTCGCAAAAGAGTGTGTGATTCACTTCCCCGAAGTGTATATAAGTACCGCTAAAGTGCGGTCATTGTTATTTTTTTCTGATTAGTTACGCGGTGGCAAAGAGAGGCGTCTTTGGATTTTTTTGCCCCCATATATATATATACACCTATATAAACCGTAATACTACCCCATATACGGGTATTTTGTGGACACCGTAAGTTCTCCTTTGGAATATGTATATATATGGCTTTGGGTTCCCACACTCGCGCTGCTATTGTAACGCATACCGTAAGAATTCACCCCTATTCTTTGAGGATTTTATACACACGAGCTCTACACCCTTCATAGAAATTAAATGCGCCTCTTTTCAGCAAGTTTTTTTTTTTCTTTTCCTTTTTCTTCTTTATAGGAAGTGTGCAATGCACGAGTTTGGTTGAATTCCTGCACGTTTCGATGAATGGGGTCAAAACCGTTTCCGTATATATATTCTCGACTTGACCCCAAATAGAGCCCTTGACGCATCTCAGTCTTATTCTTATATATATATGCTTTTCTTTTTTTTCTCCTTCCTTTTTTATTTGTATTATAGAAAAGGGGAACATAGTCAAAGGGATTAGTGGAAATGCGAGCTTGACCCTTTGCTTGAGGGGAGATGAAAAAAAAGGAAAAAAAAAATCTCCTGTGGTTGGTCCATGTCGAATTATTATTCAGACAAGACGTTTCT